TGGGCTTCAGGAGTCAGGTTTGATGTGTGTGTGTGTGTGTGTGTGTGTGTGTGTGTGTGTGTGTGTGTGTGTGTGTTCTCCCTTTCCCATAATGCCATTCCAGGAGATGACAGCGTGTCCCCTTCCCCTACATGAACGGTCGGCACATAGGTGTTACGTGCTGTTCTCTTAATGAATGTCTTCCCCTACCTATACTCACCTACCTATACTCACCTACCTATACTCCCCTACCTATACTTCCCTACCTATACTCACCTACCTATACTCCCCTACCTATACTTCCCTACCTATACTCACCCACCTATACTCCCCTACCTATACTCCCCTACCTATACTCACCTACCTATACTCCCCTACCTATACTCACCTACCTATACTCACCTACCTATACTCACCTACCTATACTCACCTACCTATACTCACCTACCTATACTCCCCTACCTATACTTCCCTACCTATACTCACCTACCTATACTCCCCTACCTATACTCACCTACCTATACTCCCCTACCTATACTCACCTACCTATACTCACCTACCTATACTCCCCTACCTATACTCACCTACCTATACTCACCCACCTATACACATCTACCTATACTCACCTACCTATACTCACCCACCTATACTCCCCTACCTATCCTCACCTACCTATACTCACCTACCTATACTCACTTACCTATACTCACCTACCTATACTCACCTAATTGTTCTCACAGAGATATAATCACGTAGAAGAACACACAAGTGGATGTACTCGTTTTTCTCTACTCAGCTGAATACGCTCCCTTAAATGTACTCACCGGCCTGTACTCAGCCTGATGTACTCACCTAAATGTACTAGCCTACCTGTACTCGTCTAGATGTGCTCACCTATATGAGGCACTATTCTTTCGGTACGCTAAGAGTTTTGACTATAAATTGTATATCTGGACGTTTGGTAGTATGACCTATGTGCTGACAACATTTTGTACTGTATCATGTATTACGTACTTAGGCTGCATATTATGTATTTATGTTAATTTAGATATTCATGTAAAAATATATAATGATGTATTATTTTTGAATTGATATATTTTTTGGTTATGTAAGACTATAACATACTTATAGTCTTATATATAGTATAATATATATAGTATATATATATATATATATATATACTTATATGCTTACTATAACAGGGAAGTGACAGCACTGAAGGAGCTGTCACTTCTCTATATTTTCTTCGATATAGAAGAAAAAATCATAACCAAAAAGATTGTTCAAAAAAGTGGAAAAAAAATCAGAGATTGAAACCTAATCAACAGGAAGTTAATGGGTGAGAAGAGTTAAGAGAATCAGCAGTCGAAACCGCATTAAGAGAGGACAGGTTAAGGGGAGAAGGGAGGGAATTATCAGGGAGAAAGCGCCTAGCCATTACATAGCACTTGTAAGGGGTCAGGATAAGGATTTGGGATGGGACGGATGGAAAGGAATGGTGGCTAACCACTTGTTGGACGGTCAGGAGGGGATTGAACGCCGACCTGCATGAAGCGAGACCGTCTCTCTACCGTCTATCCACAAGTGCTTGAACAGGGTTAAGCAGAGCAATGAAAACATGAGATAGAATATGAGGAGGTAGAACGATGAGGAGAAACTCATTCATCTTTGGCAGCATTCTTTAGCCCGCTGCTCATCTTGGCGCCCGACAGAGGGGCCGGCCAATTAACCCCTCCGTCACACATTCCCGTCCGTCACAGCGTTCTGACTCTGAACTGCCTTCAAAGACAGCCCAAAAATCTTTTCGAGTGACGCCAGGGAGGCAAGAACACTCCAATAAAAGTCATTCCTTTTCCCTCCTCCCAGCGTTAGCGATGATCTCCTAGGCGACTCGCGTGCCCTGAGACACGATGGGGTGCTAAATGGAGACCTTCTTAGGGGAAAAAATGATCGGAGAAGAGCTGAGGGATTACAGCGCTGAGACCCACTAGAGTGTGTGAGGGCTGTATCAGGAATTAAGTAATTAATTCTGATGAGAAAATCACTCTGAGGAAATGTGATTAAGGTGTTAAAAATAATTTGTTTTTTTACACCTTTTTTACGTGTATAGTCTCTAATACTCACAAGAAACTCAATGAATAATTATACATTATATATATATATATATATATATATATATATATATATATATATATATATATATATATATATATATATATATACATTATTTATATATATATTGTGACGATAATCTCTTTCAAGAGAGATTGAGCCTGCTCTTCCCTACACAATTTACGTCATTCAAGTACAAGATACTATATTGAAGATACGTCCACCAGTATCGCCAAACGTTTTGCCCAGGAAGCAAAGCGTACCTTGCACCACCAGACACACCGGCTCCCGCCCGCCGTCAAACCAGCAAACTACTCATTCTCCGCCTGCCTGTTCCTGATTGGCTGGTGTGTCGCCGCACCTGCACTCACGCCACTACCTGAGTCGACGTCTGGGCCAGCACACGCCGTACTCCTCAGAATATCTCTGTGCTCTTTGGAGTTGACATCTCTCTCTAGTAGACAAAGCTCTGGCTGTCGTGTACTAAGGGAGGTGGCAGCTTGAAGCCAGTATTCTCAGCACCTGATCTGATTTACCATTACTATTACTTGCACTTTATGTTGTCTTAGAGTAAATTTTTACTGCCATTAATTATTCATGTTGTTTTGTTTGTTGACTTGTTTTGAATTTTACGTAAGCCAAGAGATTGTCTTTATTCATATCTTGTTTTCTAGAGTAATTAAAATTTCATTGTTTATACTTTGTGTTTTGTGTGTCTTCCCATTACCTTACCACAGACGAACGGGCAAACGAACTTCTTCTTTTTTTTTCTGTAATGTGACGTGGCCTTGGCCCCAGCTATTGAAGAGCCGAACATCAGCACTCCAACACTTTACCGTCACAATATATATATATATATATATATATATATATATATATATATATATATATATATATATAATGTGTGTGTGTGTGTGTGTGTGTGGGTGTGTGTGTGTGTGTGTGGTGTGTGTGTGTGTGTGTGTGTGTGTGTGTGTGTGTGTGTGTGTTTACTTGGGCACCAGGCGTTCCATTTAGCAAATTTGGTTAAATATGACCTCATTTCTGGCGTTGTTCATAGAGCATAAGCTTCCTATGCTTCTAACTATCGTCTTACTCTTGGGATTCAGAAGAACAATCAAGTTGGCGACATTTACGATAAAGAAACTCAAGTGATTACTGAAGGATTTTCAATAACGTTTCGTTCCACTTCGGTACATCTTCAAGTAAGGAATGAATACACAAGGGTGGAATTCTGTCTTAACTACTCACGAGTAGTTAACTTACTTTCTCTCTTCTTTCTTCCCTAACAGAAAAAAAGAAAATTTCCACTTTCTTATCCCTTTTTAGAGCCCTATTCCTGTCTATTTCCCCCACCCAGCTTTCACCCCCTCCAAACCTCCCCACACATCCCTCACCCACCAATGCCTTAGTAGGGAAGGTCCATCCCCTCCCCCCATAATATTCCACCCCCACCAAGCCCCCTCCCCCGCATCACTCCACGTCAAGATTACCAGACATAAATGGATTGTCTGAGGCCGAAAGTCCAAATCCGCGTAAAACTTCTTATTTCAATCTAGAATTTCTTTCGTGATAATTATGAACGGAAGTTGCTGCCGCACGCAAATTGCGAGCCTCTCCTCGCAAATTGCGAGCCTCTCCTCGCAAATTATCCACCAGCCTTATGTCGCTCTTCGTCATTCTTTAGGACACGAAGGGAATTAAGGAAGAGAGAGAGAGAGAAAGAGAGAAATAGTGAGAGAGAGGTTGAGGGAGAGAGAGAGAGAGAGAGAGAGAGAGAGAGAGAGAGAGAGAGAGAGAGAGAGAGAGAGAGAGAGAGAGAGAGAGAGAGAGAGAGAGAGAGGGAGGGAGAGAGAGAGAGAGAGAGAGAGAGGGAGGGGAGGATGTGGAGGATCCGAAAAAAAACGCGACTCTTGATAAAACCATTGTTAGACTGTAGTTAATATGTGGGGCCGGCTTTGTCACCTGTAGCCGGATGGACGAGCCCCCGGAAAGCTCATTTATCACGACCAAACGGATAAACGATGAGCCTTTCTCACCAAGAGACAGAGGCGATGGACCTGTTATCACCAACGAAGAAGGAACGGACTTTGCAAAAAAAGGACAGACGGATGAGTTTTCTGTCTTATCATAAACGAATAATCTATCGTCTTCAAGAGACGGACTCGTGTCACGGACAGAATCATATTTATCGTAGATGGTCGAACGGACAGGGGATTGTGGGGGTGGGATAATTGGAAAAAAAAAATTAGCAGTTGTCAAAATCAGAAGTTTGTTGGGAAGATTGAGAGAAGCGGTCGTGAGAATCAGGTCTTTCTCATAGCTGGATGGAGGTCTGAAAGTGGTTTATCATTTCCAATGAGAGAAAGGGTGTTTATCACTTTAGGACAGCTGTTTGACATTGAGTGACAGTTGTTTGTCACTTTAGGACGGCTGTTTGACATTGAGTGACAGTTGTTTGTCACTTTAGGATAGCTGTTTGACATTGAGTGACAGTTGTTTTCACTTTAGGATAACTGTTTGACATTGAGTGACAGTTGTTTTCACTTTAGGATAGCTGTTTGACATTGAGTGACAGTTGTTTTCACTTTAGGATAGCTGTTTGACATTGAGTGACAGTTGTTTGTCACTGTCAGACGGCTGTTAGACCCTGTGGCCGGTGTGAGAGGTACAGAGAGAGAGAGAGAGAGAGAGAGAAATAGTGAGAGAGAGGTTGAGGGAGAGAGAGAGAGAGAGAGAGAGAGAGAGAGAGAGAGAGAGAGAGAGAGAGAGAGAGAGAGAGAGAGAGAGAGAGAGAGAGAGAGAGAGAGAGAGAGAGAGAGAGAGAGAGAGAGAGAGGACAAGGTAGGAAAGGATCGAGTGATACAGAGGGAGTCAGGGAGATAAGCAGCCATATAGAGGATGAGTAAATGACAAAGAGAGGGGCAAGCAAGGATGAAAAGGTGGAGGCATGGGAGCAAGGAAGAATGGGAGGCAAGGAGGCAGACAATAAAGGTAAGTGGGAGGGAGGAAGGCAAACAGGTAGGTAGACAGGTGGGTAAGGAGGGAGGGATGCAGGAAAGGTGTCACAGGTAGAGACAGGAGTTCGTGACGAGGCCGCAGTATAACCACCACGACAGTGATCAGCCCCATCGGGGCTCAACGTTCCCGCGGCCCGGTCCCCGACCAGACTTCCTGATTGCTGAACCAGGAAGACCCTGGCTGGATGTCTGGCGTGAACGCCCCAACACATCACACATAAAATCAATATTGACCTTCAGAAACCAGACTGACTGGTTGTCAAACACAGAATAACCAGAAAGTGCGTAGTTGACAGTGACCCGCATCAAGCACTGTCAAACCTGTGCAGTAACAATTGCCACGAAGCAGTGAAAAAGTTGCAAATTTTCCACATTGTGAAAAACTGGCAAACAATTCCTTAGTAGTCCTCACTGCACAACGTAATGTGTCCTATCCAACTGTCTTGAAAATGCCATCAAAATCCCTAATAACAATTTAAATTTTATCATTAAAACCGAAAACAACTTATTAAAACCAATCAAGACTAACCCATCAGGTACAGTAAGACTCCAGCTCGCATCCTACTGCATAACGTTTCATAATATGAACGAAAATCTAATATAAACTTGCCCCCCCCCCTTATGTTATTGTTTAAGATTCGCTACCTGGAACAAAAAATTCCAAGCAGCACGGGCTATGGTGAGCCCATTAGCCCCTCTTAGTAATAGAGAGAAGTAATCTGCTGGACACACAAACCCTCTGTAACGCATCACAGCTGCACGATACAAGGACGTCACAGGGTACAGTCCACTCGGGTACAGGTCACTCGGGTACAGGTCACTCGGGTACAGTCCACTCGGGTACAGGCCACTCGGGTACAGTCCACTCGGGTACAGTCCACTCGGGTACAGGCCACTCGGGTACAGGCCACTCGGGTACAGGCATCTCGGGTACAGGCATCTCGGGTACAGTCCACTCGGGTACAGTCCACTCGGGTACAGTCCACTCGGGTACAGGCATCTCGGGTACAGGCATCTCGGGTACAGGTCACTCGGGTACAGGCCACTCGGGTACAGTCCACTCGGGTACAGGCATCTCGGGTACAGGCATCTCGGGTACAGTCCACTCGGGTACAGTCCACTCGGGTACAGTCCACTCGGGTACAGGCATCTCGGGTACAGGCATCTCGGGTACAGGCCACTCGGGTACAGGCCACTCGGGTACAGGCCACTCGGGTACAGGCCACTCGGGTACAGGCCACTCGGGTACAGGCCACTCGGGTACAGGCCACTCGGGTACAGGTCACTCGGGTACAGGCCACTCGGGTACAGGCATCTCGGGTACAGGTCACTCGGGTACAGTCCACTCGGGTACAGGCATCTCGGGTACAGGCCACTCGGGTACAGGCCACTCGGGTACAGGCCACCAGAGTACAGGACATCAAAGTACAGGCCACAAACACACCACCAGGATTGTGGAATCTCAAAGCACTACACACACACACACACACCTCCATTACATTCTCCCTCTCATGCTTGAGCCTCTGCTTCCCCCTCTGTGGCGCCGCCATTAGAAGCATTCCTCATATATAATTAATATATTATCACTTGCGCGTCCAGCGACGACACTGACGGCATTTAATAACACCTGACAGAGCGCCTCTGTTTACTATAATGACTTTCATGGTCACCAGCGTCCTCCACACCCAATAAAAAACTTGGGAACGAGGGCAAAGAAAAATAAAGAAAATATTGAATTCGAAATAAAGATGGCATGAGAATGAAATGAATGAGGGGGGACAAAGGAGAAAATACCCCCACAAACCACCTCCAAACCTCCCCAACCCCCGCTACCCATCCTTTCCTACCCCCCCCCCCATGATCCCCCTAACCCCCATTCCCAACCCAACATAAAAGGACAATTAATGGAACAAATATATTCACAGTTTACAGCTACGTGCAATATTTGTCTATCTAAAGAATCTATTATGTGATAGCGACATAACATGACGTGCTAGCAACATAACATGACGTGCTAGCAACATAACATGACGTGCTAGCGACATAACATGACGTGCTAGCAACATAACATGACGTGCTAGCAACATAACATGACGTGCTAGCGACATAACATGACGTGCTAGCAACATAACATGACGTGCTAGCAACATAACATGACGTGCTAGCAACATAACATGACGTGCTAGCAACATAACATGACGTGCTAGCAACATAACATGACGTGCTAGCAACATAACATGACGTGCTAGCAGAATAACATAAGAAAATCAAAATAGAGGAACGTATTCAAGAAACAAACACCTTCCCACAAAGGCGAATTATTAACCCATAAGTAATCTGCATCTTGCCGGGCCGAGCTTATATTTATTTAACATATTTGCCGACAAATAAAGTTCAGGATCATGAACGCACTCTCACAGGGACCAACAGGAGGTGTGGTTCAACAGTACCAGCTTACAGGGACCAACAGGAGGTGTGGTTCAACAGTACCAGCTTACAGGGACCAACAGGAGGTGAAGTTCAACATAGTACCCAGACCAACAGGGGGGACACAGGAGGGTGTAGTTCAACAGTACCAGCTTACAGGGACCAACAGGAGGTGTAGTTCAACAGTACCCCCTTACAGGGACCAACAGGAGGTGTAGTTCAACAGTACCTCCTTACAGGGACCAACAGGAGGTGTAGTTCAACAGTACCCCCTTACAGGGACCAACAGGAGGTGTAGTTCAACAGTACCCCCTTACAGGGACCAACAGGAGGTGTAGTTCAACAGTACCCCCTTACAGGGACCAACAGAAGATGTTGACCAAGGATATTCCCTCACAAGGACCAGCACCGCAATATTTAAGAGGCTGAGCCAAGTAGTGTGCGGCGTAAGTCCCAGCAAACTTTTCCAAAAGAGGAGAATGATTAAGACTGAGACTCTATCTGTCTCGTCTCGAGCAAGTATAACATTTTCTTTGCTATCTCCTGCCTTTTCCCCCCTCTCAATCTCCTCTCTTTCCCTTATTCTATTCCATCGTTTTCTTCACCACTCCCCTTCCTTCCATCACCACCGTCTTCCCCTTTCTCTCTCTCAAATCCTCTTTCTCCTTATTTGTTCGTCAGGCGGTCTCTGTCTATCTCTCTCTCTCTTCCCAGCTGTATTTCCTCTTATCACCTCTCTTCATTGCCTCCTTCCTCTCCCTGTTTTTGGCTGCGTATAGTGTTTATCACATTCTTCTTACCGCCTCCCAACATTTATTCGTTTCCTCCTTGTCTATAACCTTTATCCATCTCCTCCCGTGTTTCTCGCAAAATTCTTATTTCTTTCTCTAATCCATTTAGTTTTTCTATTCATCCTACTTCTTTTTGCATTCCTGTGTTTGTCTATCTTTAAACCTCCTCTCTCATCTTGCTTGCTCCTTCCCTTGTGCTATAATATACTTCTTCTCGAAATCATCTCAAGATAACCTCAAGGAAGATATCCGCTGGTTTCCGAGAATGAGCGAAGCTTCTCTCTCGCTTTGCCAAACGGGCTCCTTTGTGGGAAAGACTTCCTTGCTCACTGTTCCAAGGAAGATAATGGGTAATGAGTCTGTTAATACATGCACAGGGGTTATACCCATTACTGTACAATGATCATGATGACCCATTTTACAGCCATTAAGGTTACATTGTTCCTGAACTATTATGTCAAACAGGATACCGGTAGGTGGAACTAATGACACAGGCGGACTTTATTGTTCCAGCCTCTTTATTAATTGGAGCCCTGTTCATTGGTGCACTGTTCATTGGTGCACTGTTCATTGGTGCACTGTTCATTGGTGCACTGTTCATTGGTGCACTGTTCATTGATGCACTGTTCATTGGTACACTTTTCATTGATGCACTGTTCATTGATCCACTGTTCATTGATGCACTGTTCATTGGTACACTGTTCATTGATGCACTGCTCATTGGTGCACTGTTCATTGATGCACTGTTCATTGGTACACTTTTCATTGGTGCACTGCTCATTTATGCACTGTTCATTGATACACTGTTCATTGATGCACTGTTTCATTGATACACTGTTCATTGATACACTGTTCATTGATGCACTGTTCATTGATGCACTGTTCATTGATGCACTGTTCATTGATACAC